ATAATGTACAAACAGCAACAATACAGAATACTTGTTCTAGCAAGCCTGTTCTTCACAGCATAAAACCTCTCTGCTTTGCACCTGTTGTCTTATATCCATGTTTTCTTCATCACAGCTAGTTAATTCCTAAAATATAGTACACACCAATATTAATTTCCTGAACAGCTCTCCTCCTTGAATGAGGCAGATGTGCTTCAGTTCCATATTGGCTGTCAGCTTCAACTATTTTGGAGCCAGCCAAATCCTCACTGCAATCACAGTTGTCATGCTCATTGACTTGGCAAGAGTAGGCTTGGTCTGTGAGACAACACACATATCCCTGCATTATTCCAACTTTCCTAAGGATCCAACCCAAATTATCCTGTAAAAAACTGTATAAACCAAAACTTGAGGAATTGTTGCAAAGCTGGTTATTTTTGTTGAGCAAAGTTTTGGAGTAAGTAGTGAGCTCAGCACTTCTCCAGTTTGAAGATTTCAATATATTGAGGTCCTAGTGAAAAGAACAGGCTTAACTTCTATCCCTTATCAAAAGAGCCCTAAGAAGCAGGATTTATTAGGCTAGGCACAACAACATTTTAATGCAAACAGTGTCTGAACTGAAGCAGGTTCAATTCTGGTGGCTGAGAGTAAATTAATGCATCTCCACTTACACCATTCCTGAGCAAGATACCTCTAGCAACCTGAAAAAGGTGACTCAGGTATTTGCAGTGTTGTGTTCAGTTTTTCAGATCAGCAAGACAGTCCCTGTTTTGCAGAACTGTCAGTGTCCAACTTGTTCTGTTCTCTAAAATTTCAGCAATCAGCGAAAAAAAAGAAAAAACTCCATGTCAAAATGAAAATTTGGCTTCTCATACAGAGAAACATCTGGCACCTGACTGATGCACTGGAATTTGGAGTGCTTCAGTCTCCCCATGAACACAATGCCTATTTGATGTCCAACAGAAGAAAGAATACAGTATTCACTGGCATATTTTAATCTTTTTGTGACCGCATGAATGTACATGAGCCTGCTAAAGCAGGTTTAGTGGTCTGGGTTTTTTCATCATAAGATGATTTCTAGAATGCATGTTGAGTATTTATGCTTTCTCCTCCCAGTTGTTGAATGCTGTCCTGCAACTTTAGTTAAAAGCGTAAAGAGAGAGACTCCAATAAACTGTATTTAAAGAGTAACTGACTTAGATATTTTCTCAAAACTACACATTCCAGCAATAGTTTTTTCATTGCTTCCAGCCTATACAAGCACAGGTTTTTTCGGTTAGCTTCTGGCTATCATCCAGTCAGATGTTTAGATGCTTGAACGAACTTGGAGAAATATTTTTACAGTGTGAAGAGTCTGTGCTTAATCACTTGGGGAAAAATATTCCATTTTGATTCTTGGCTACAGTACTTGTCTAAAATTGCTTAATCACGTGAAAATATAATTTCACTAGCTAGCACATATCCCTTTGAAATTTCACTTGCAACATACTTCAGCTCACCAGCTTTGACCCTCATGTAAGGTCATCTACTCTGCTGTTTAAATAAAAATACACACCGTGATAACTCACAGTATTTTCCAGTCACGCAGAAATGTGGGTGAACAAGTTATTGATTCTAGTGTCTGACATGACCTGCTTGTAATTAGGAAATCAATAACCTGGAATTCTTCCTCTCTTGCCACCACCTGCCTTTCCCCCAAATTCCAAAAATATCCCTGCATTCAATTAATGCTGATGCTGGATTCCCACCCTGATTTTGCAACACAAGCAGTTCTCTACTACTTACATAATTTCATACCTTCTACTTTGGCCCCAAGGCCTGGATGGTGGTTGTGGAAGGAATTTATTAAGTAGCACAGAAATTAATGTTCAAAAGACACCATAAAACAAGGCAATGATATAGCAGAATTTGGCTGATATTAAAATCATAACAGGTATATGAAGAAAATACTCAGCTGACAACATTGGTCAAACTATCGATGCCTCACCATTTCACTGAGTTGGCGAAATAGCTGGAGCATGATCAGCTTCCATCCTGCCTAATCCCTTCTTGCTACATTACCATGTTGCTGGAAGTCTTGGCAAGATGCTATTATTGAACTTTAGCACCACTGTACCTGATTGACAGTACCCAGTTAGTTTCTCACTAGGTACTACTGCTCGTTTTCGGTAGTTTTACAGAAGATTAGGGGACTTGAAAATATTTGAGGTTGTTGCTGAAGAGTGAAACAGGGCATACAGACAAACTAATGGAAGAAATCAAATATTTAAATCACACATGTAAAAGACTTCGGGGGTCTTACATGGCATCTCAGAAAAGAGTCAATTACGGTTCACAGAAAGAATCTAATAATAACTAAAGTAGGCCAAATGCAAACACTGTCATCCTGCAAAAATCTGAAAGAAGCTATACAAATAGCAGTGAAGGAAGACAAATATGTGCACTCCGAGCATGCATACCCCAGAGTACCCTTACTGAATCACATTATGAGAATATGATCTACCAAGCTCAGGAAATTCTGAGTTCAGATACAGCTACATTTCACCTGAAAAGCCTGCCAAACCTAAGCTACTTTGCACTCCAAAACTGTAACAAACTCATAAAAAATCATAGCAAGTACTTTTGTACTTACCTGATTCTTTATACTGGCTAAAAAAAGAACAATGCACAATGTTGCATAGTTTCCACTATGCTTAAAATGCAGAGGTGGCAACTAAAAGCAGCAGGAACAGTAATCAGAAGAGAATAATACCACTGGAAGCACAAAGCAAAAACCAAGTTTCAGCAAGTATTCAAAAATACAGAGTTTGCTTCCTTGCAGCTTCACGTACTGAGGGTTTTGCATGAATATTAAAGGTACTGACAAAATAGCAACATATTCCAAGACAAGCACAAGAACCTTTAGTGAGACACATTAGGAGTTATTCAGTGGATGCTGAAAAATAGGGTTGTCAAGGATTTATCCTTTTTTTCTTTTTTTTAGTGTAAGCTTTATAAAGATAGACTTACATTCTTAGAGAGAATCTAGTTCTGATACAACAGATGTAAAAGTTCATCCTTCGTTTAAAGTACAATTCGCTGCCTATAGTCTTTTAAGCACTGTATAAATTACCACATTGGTGTAAAAGGATAGAAATTTGCTTTCCTGAAAGAAGTCAACATATTAAACTTCAGGCAATGCATTTTTACAATTCGATGCTTTTGTGACAAAAAAAAAAAATCCAGGAATTGTTTTCAGTGGACTCAGGTGTTTTCAGTGGAAGACCTCCCCAAAATATATCTTTTGGGGGTAAAAGTTTGTTTACATCTTATCTGTCTTTCGCTACCATACTCTCACTATCCGCCCAGGCAGTGGTGCTCTCCTTCATTCTTCAGGGGACATTCCAGGGCTTAAACACAGTTTCTCAGAACTCTAAGCTTTATGCACTGAGGGTTTGTAATTTAGCATACATGGTGCACGCATTGCCCATCATGAAGGTTTCCATGCCATTTCTTGGACGAGAACTTAAATATTCTCATGGAGTTAGTGGGATAAACTGGATCAATTCAGTGATATAATTTATGACACAACTCTACCACAGCGTTTTTGAAGAACAGCTAATACAGAAACTTGGGAATGAAAATGAGATGCCATTTTGAGAGCTAGAAAGTGATGCAAGAATTTCAAGTGGAAAAAAAGTGCACAGAGTCATAGCTGCTCTCACAACCCAGGCAAAACCAGGAAAATATTCCCCCTTGTTTGCTTCTTACTTTGTGCTAACCTTCAGAGTCCACAGAGCAATACAGAATACTTCTCTTCCAAGAGAATTCTCTTGTATTCTCTTCTGTTCTCTGCCTGTTTTGTTTTACCAGGGAGTCTCTTTACCTGCCTTACTATAAACTGAGTGAGACAGCAATCTCATTAAATTGTATTCTTCAGACCTCAAGCCATGCTATATTATAATCCTAGGACTAGATTTGCTTTTTATTTTTCCTTTTTTTTTTTTTAAATGAACTTTGATAACGCTCAATTTCTCACTTCTTTACCATAATGCAAACCTTGCAGTAGTCAACATAAGTCCCAATCTGGTTGCTGTAAACATTTCAAAGTAAAACATACCACAGTCCCTCCCTCCTGTCCCACCACCTTCTCACACTTACATTTGACTGATGCTTTCCAACATGTGGGAACATTCTCCTGTTTCAGTGAAAATCTTGCCTAGTCCACATGCTTTGGTCCTCTTTTGTATTTATTTAATTGGTTGCCATTTAACATGGAATAATTAACACATGATGACAAATGCAAATCTACCCCCTTTGCAATCATTTCTTTCAAGACACAAATGGCTGTGCCTCATCCTGGCTTTCTTACATCAAGAAAGACTAGAAACAACTATTTGTTTCCTGGAATAAATTTTTAGGGAAGGTGTAAATTTGCAATCACTGCCATTAATTAGATCATGCTAATTGCCAATTAGCTCCATTTAAAAAGGAAACAAATGTTTACTCTAAGCAAATTCTGGTTTGGTTATGTGTGTGCTTAAGAAAATAGAGTTAACTTCTGTGAATGCATTTCATCAAGTAGAAGGAGAATAAAGCGTCACTTAAAGAACTAAACTAGGACAGAAAAAAAGGCATATCAGAAGCACCAGTTTTTCTTCTGAGGGTGTACATGGCTGTTATTTCCACTGTTTTAACACCCTTTATAATGAAGGAGGGCTGTCACTTTGGGCCCTACAGAAGTGAGTGCTGAAGCACTGCCTTTCAAGGAGGAAAGTGTCAGCAAAGTTGAGATAAATTAGTATTTCTCTCAACAGTAAAGCCAGTTTCAGCATCTACCCCATGCTCTTCTCTCTGGTGCTACACCACGGCTGGTGTGGCTGTGTGGTAAATGAAATCAGAGCAGTGATCCCCATTTAGGAAAACTGCTTAAAAAGAATAATAACACCTATAGGTATCCTAGCAAAGGAAGAACCTTTGAGAGAATAGAATACATTATAGATTATCTTTTCTCCCTAAAGAAAGATCTTAGAAAGCCTTACCATGAGGGAGGCTTCAGTCTGTGCCATGGCTATGTAGACCCACAGGCAGGACCCACATCAGGGAGCCAGCGAGAGGACGCTGGTACGCAGCTGTACAAAGTGCAGCAGTAGCAGTCAGAGCCATCTAGGAGCAGCAAGGAGAAGCGAGCTGCACTTCAGTATTCCCTGTTTCTGCCTTTTCCAGCTGAACTGCAGTGACAGAGCACAGAGCTGTCTGTCAACAGAAGGAGAGATTTTTTTTCCCGGTTGCATAAGGAAGCAGTCAGACCTTGCTGTTCTCATAGTTTGTCTCTAGCTCCACTGACTAAGATGTACAAGTCAGGAGCTAACATCTTTTTTTTGTCAATTTTCCAGTCATTTTTCATAGGTGATGTAAACCATATCGAAGTTATCCATTCTCAGTTCACTGTGGTGAGCTGTGAGACTGCAACAGAGGTCGTTCCATCTCATGTAGCAGTTTCAAATATTTGCTATGTAAAAGTATTAGCTGATAGTATTTATTTGATGTCTTCATGTAGCAACAGTAGGTTATACCATCCTACTACATAATTTCTAAAGCCCTGAGGATTCTTCAGTCGTTAATGACACAGAATATTTGGGTACTGCAGCAGTGTTGCTTGAATGACTCTTTCTTTAAAAGCTGCATTATAGCAAAGATTTCTTTCAATTCACATTACCACTGATGGTCTCTCTTCAGCCTTTACACAGAATTCCAATTAATGTCAAAGAGGAATAATCACACATTAAATGGATGGAGAATATACCCCTTAAAATTTAATGTGTACATGAGATATTCTTATTAACTATGGTCTTACTTAATTTTAATGCTATAACATCAACTATAATTTGGATAAGGAGTTTTTGATTTCCACACCCATCCCCCCCCCCCCCAAGAAAATGCGGCACTGCTGTTCATGCTAGCATAGCCCTTCTGGGGTTATGAGAAAATGGGGCTGTAGAGAAAATGATGCCCCAAACTCCCATGACCCAGATTCCCCAAACAACTGAAAACACCCTCTCAAAGTGTCTCTTGACATGATATTGAACCTCTGAAGTGGAATTAGTTGCCAGGAAAACTGACAGGATATAATCTAAACCAACAAAATACTGCACCTAGGTAATGAACTAGGTAATCAGAAATTGAGGTGGAGGAGGCACTGTCCGTGAAGAAAGAGAAGGACTGAGCAGAACAGAAGCAAGATTATTGATAAACCAGTAGAAAAGCTTCATAAAAGGTTTTGGGTTTTTTTACTGTACTGGGATGAGTAGGAAAAAAGAGACAATAGCATAAGTGATATATGAAAGCATGATGGCAATACAGCTTCCAAGCAGTAAAACGTGGTGTAATTTGGCTCAGACAGTTTACATTACATCTTTTTAGTTGATGGCAAAAAAAACCCAAAACAACCCACTGCATCCAAAAATGCACTACTTCCCTGGAGCATTGCTGAGATATGTCTAAGTTTAAGATCAAAGCCCTCCAAAGTTTCACCTTCATATAACTGCGTATTGCACCAACTTAACGGTCTTGCCTCTGTTGAGAGTTTTGGCAGTTTTCTTACAGACATATTGAAGGACTACATGCAAAAATCTCAGCACTGAAGAATGTTGTCAAGGGTCATTGATTTATACCAGGGAGAAACTAAAGCAAAACAGAAAACCTGCCACAGCCATTGCCTGTCTTGTTCTCTTATCTGCATTTGGCCTTCAAACAAAATTCATTCACTCCTCAAGAGTACTTCTAGTACAGAAACTGTGATAGTGGGATGAAGTACAGCATCCAAGAGTTATTTTTAAGTGCTTACTTGAACTCTTCTAAATCTAGTACACGCTGCTTGAGCGTTTCATTTTTTTGTATGTGGTTTCCAAGTTAAAATGCTGTAAAAGCATAAGCAGTAACCTATGTAGGCTGCAAAAGTATGGAGAAAGTACAGTTTGGAGAGGACTGTACCAGTTTCTAGAAACACTGAGTGCTTAAAAAATGCAACAAACCTTACTCGTGTTGCTTTTAGAAGCATCAGCTTTTCAGTGAGCAGACTGAAGTGTTTAGTGAAATCTAGTCCTTGTAGGAAGAGCTTGCTGGCCACTTCAGTTTTATTAGATTCAACATCAGCAAGCAGTGACTCAGTCAAGGACTATTGCAGCTAGAAAAAAGAAAGAAGAAGGGTGTCTGCTAAAGGTGAAAGAGATGCTTGGTGTATGAACAGTCTTGGTATATGAACAGTCAGTATTTCATGATCATAGGTGTAACTTAAAAGCATAAAATCCCACAGAAAATACTTGGAAAAGGACTTGGGAAAGGAAGCATCAGGGAAACAATGCAGAAACATTAAGTGATTCTTGTGTAGCAGACCTGGCCCTACTCAGTACTGGTAAGTGCTCATTTCTAGGGCACATTCCCCACCGCTGTCACACAGTCAGTCTGATGCGAACAAGCAGTAAACCTGTATATGTCATAAAGAGAGCTTCATGTCATTATCTACACCCATGGGAAAAATCTGAAGATGGATACTGCAAGAGGGGTATTGGCACACACAGCAACAGCAACCATTAGTAACAGAGGAAAAAGAAAACGTCAACATATCCTCATCCATAAATTCGAACTATAAAAGGACCTTTCAGTAATGTCAGGAATACTCTGAAAGGTTACACAAATCATGCTTCTTCAAAATGAGGAGAAAGAAAGTATTGACAGGGATTCTCAAATGCATTGTAGAAGAGTGGTATGATTAATGATACAGCAGAAATGGGTACTAAAGTAAGGAATTTGTCAGAAGTATAAGGATTCCCAGAGAAAAAGTGCCAATCTTATCATCTCAGCTACTCACAAGTGACATTGTCCAGAGTGAAAATGGAAAGCTTTTGGTTGAGGAAATTGTGAGCATATGATTTACAGTGGACTGACTGTGTTACTGTTCTTCCAGTAGGCACTGTGCCCATTGCTGTACCACGGCAATGCACAATGAGCACCAGCTCAGGAAAAGCAAATTCCTGCCATGTACTTGCATTACTGACTTTCATCCTGAGCTCTCTAGCCAGCTTTCTTCTTGTTTGTGAGTTAAATGATTAAACAGACAGTATATAGGAAAGATTTTCTGTTAAAATTGGAAGGACATAAACCAAGTTTCCACAGAAGAGCCATACTTTGCACTATGCAGCAACTGTGATGGACACAATAAGCCCCTACTCACCTAACAGCTACAGTGGGAGAGAGAATGCTTAGGGAGATAAATAGGGAGCAAGAGATTCCGAAAGCAGAAACAGCCGTAACATTGCAAATGAAAACAATCCTAAATAATCCTAAATGAAAACAATCCTTTGATATAGCAAAAATGTAGCTACAGGACCTGAAGCAGTCAAGACTCATCTTCTACATACTCTGGTCACATAAGAAGGCAAAAGTATCATGAAAAACACAGGCATCCTCCCAGAATATCCTAGAACAGCACACACAGAGAAGATAATTTACAAACTCATCATGTTATTGACTGAGATTGAACAACCTCACTCTAAATACCTTGCACACTTGCCTGCAAAAAAGCACATCAGGAAAAGTTGCAGATCCCTCCCCCCAGTTCTTGTTGGGCTGTGGTAAGCTTGTGTTTGAAGCAACATGGGTGGTTCAGACAGTTACTATGCTTGTTCAAGTTTTCAGCTAAATTTAATAGTGTTTAATTTTAGGCCCAGTTAGATTCAGATCCAAAAGAAGGGAAATGATACAGGGGAGGTGCTGGCAGTCCATGCTGCCTGAACACGGCACATGGGCAGTGAGAATATTCTTTGATGCCCTCAATGCTGGTAAGGATGTCTGTAGTTAGTTTCTTATTTCTACATGTAGCTTTTGTTCTTTAGAGGTTTATTCTGAATTATTCTCCCTCATCTAGAATGTATTCAATGGCCACATCATGTGAAACACTTTGTAGCTCTTGGCATGCCACTGATATATTATGTATCCTCATAAAACCTGTCAAAAAAGATGCAAGGAGAGGAGTCTAAAGCATTTGCTTGGCTAGACAGAAGAAAGAGTACTACATGCTTTGAAAGTACAGTGGTTGTGCAGTCTTTGCTGCCTTACATGGGTGCAGTTTTAGTAGCAGAAATTCACCACCTGACATGGATACAAGAATACTTATTTTGTATTTAAGGAATAAGAACAGAATACTATATATATGTGTATATATATTTACACACACACACAGAGTTATCTATACTGATATATATAACATAAGATACAGTGAAATGCATCTTCTGGAGCAGCTAATTCGGGAAAACCCCAGGCAGCTTGTACTGGGGAAACATGTCTGTTGGGACTGAATCCTACTTCACTATGCACTGGATTTAAAGGAGGGCCCAGTTCTTCCCTGGCTGGATGTGAGCATCATCCACTGAGATCAATGTCATTACATGCATCTTGCAGAGCGAGAGTTTGTCTGTTTGTATGCGATTTGAGAACACTTGCAAAAAAAACACTAACAGCAGATGAGAGCTCCCAGCTACCCTCTGAAGACTAGGCTGTCTGCCAAGAGAACAGCACATTAGACAGACACATCAATAACTCCCATCATCTATCCATCAAAAAAAGGAGATTCCATTTACCTTAAAATGCATCATATGTGGATTTTACCATGCTGAAAAGGGCAACACTTGTAGGTCTCTGAACTATCATTATATAACAGGATTGGTTCCCCTCAGTGCAGCTCAGATGCAGCTACTGCCTCAAGGAATTTATATTAATTCAGCAAATTCCATCCCATCCTTGACAGGAGTGGGCTATTTAACCATAAATTGGCTAAACTCTATGGCTATAACTGATCAAATGAGGTGTGCCCATACATAATGTTTAACCAGAAAATTTAACTAAAGAAATAAAATTTGAACATCAGCTAATAAAAGCGGATGGAGAAGTGGCAGTGATGGTCTCAGCAGCATAGCTATTCCCAGCACTGGGTGCAGGACAAGCCTTTCAGAATGTAAAATTAGGTGAATCAAATTCCAAGCTGGTGATTTCAGTATACCTTTTAGAAGGTGAAATTTAAGCTGAATGCTGTTGAACATGCTATTTAAATGTCATTTGCTCTTTCGCCTCTCAGTATTTCACAGGTCTTATAATGTTCTTATCTGAGAAATGAGCCAGCTATGTTCTGTGTTACATTTTGTCTCTTACTGGGTCATTTTGGCTAACACTGTGTTTTCAGCTGTTTGCCTGTGCTTCTCTTGCTGAAGAAGGCAAACAATTATTGCCTATGTCTGAAAACCATTTTGATTGATACACAGATA